TCCCTTTTCAGACAGAAATAATGAAAAAGGATATCCTTATTCAGACATTAGTGGTGAAGTGGCTGCACATATACATATAGCACTCCAATGTGAGTACCCCCCCCCCCCGAGCCCATGATCAATCCAGCAGACCGTCCCCATACATGTGATCTAAGAGAGCGTTTTCTATTATATCAATTCGAAAACAATATCGCCAACGTTTTAACTGTCACAGTAGTAAATACAAATGGGTGTCGAATAACACAGCATACGAGCTCCTGTTTTCATAAAATATACTTCTATACATCTCTTCTAAAAAGACAAAAGTCTACGAGGTTGTTAAATATAACATCATTTTAAACGTGGATTAAAACTGTAATTAAAAAAATGTAACACTGTCGCAGTTGGTTATACTATGAAATTCTGCACAATTCGCTAGCAACAGAGAAAAGTGAAAACAAAGTGAGGCACTTAACAAAAGTAATGCGCACTTTCCTTTGCATAATTAAAACAATTGGATTATCTTGACAGAACAAAAGCGTCACCATGAACTGTATCCCACAGTGGATAGAGGAATGCAAACTTTATCTCCCAATTCGGAAATATGACATACTAGTATATATAATATTTTATAATATAATATAATTAGCTAATCTATAGTTTCGATTTCTTGGTGCATATTTATTCATATACAAATACATCAAAGTATTGGTTTATCACGTTTCGGAAAATGAAATCATCTTAGTGAGTCAAACTGAACAAAAATCACTACACATGCTTTTGACATTTATGGTGTGGGAATGTTCAAGTCATTCTCAGCCTTTCCGTCAAGAAGTTATGAAAATATTGTCACGCCGTGTTTTGTATATATCCACCATTTAACAAAGGTAAATACATCAGTTCATCTTTTGATATGTAGATAATTGGAAGTATATAATATAATCTCTTTTACCATTTTTTTTTCATATCACTTCAAAAACTACTGTTTAACTTTCTCATGTTTAATGTACGGCCCAAATTCCTCTATTTTGTTTGTGCGATCTTCTCCAGTTTACTGTTAAATACAAGTTAAATTGATTTATTAAACATATCTAAAAACTAAACTAATGTATTATACGGTTATTAGTAGGTATTTAGTCCGCGACGCGGAATAATAATAATAAGATATTTCTTCTTTAAAATATTATATAAATATTATATATGCATATACAATCGTCTTACGTGTCGATAAATCCCTAATACCCTAACAATAACAACTTTAATGACACCAAATGTACTAAAAATGATTAGAATACCATTACAAAGACCACATACTGACACAACAGATATATAATTACGTTGCTTCTGGTATAGTCATTTCAAACTTTTGTATAAATATATAAATGTTACAAGACAGCGTCTAAAACTGCACTGTACACGGATGCAATCTACACACAATATCCCCGAGAACGAAGAGGCTTTGTAAGAGCATTACAACCGACATCAAAAGCATGACTCTAATAAAACAATCGCGTGCACTATTTTAACTTAAGGGGAGTACGCCGACTTTTAGTAACAGTATGTAGTCTGGCAGCTGTCTAGAAAACAACTAGTGGACATGTATATTGATTAATCACGTTAAATGAAACTTATACATATGCCGTGTTATTTTAATGATCTTTGACTCGGGTAACAGCAACTACATGGCCTAAGGTGACAATTTCACGTTCCACTCTCTTTACCCGAAGCCAGTAACCCACACACGTGTCAGTTGATGAGCTCAGATTGTGTGGAATTTCGTAATCTTATGAATTTCGTAATCTTATAACACCTATTATTAAAGAACTTCACTGGCTTCCAGTACGGAATTGTTTTCACAATTATTTGCTACACAAACAAAGCTCTGAATGGCATTTCACGAAGTTATATATCTGACATCCTTCACTTCAAATCAACTTCTCGCACACTCCGCTCTTCGGCCAAATGTTGTATACTCCCAACTTCAGACTTGCATCATCTGGTGGGCAAGCATTTTCCCGAGCAGCTCCACGCTTATGGAACTCTTTACCAATAGAATTGCGTCAGAAATCTATAATAGATACCTTTACAAAAAATCTCAAAACTCTTATATTTACCAGAGCTTTTGACAACAACTAATTGTACAGCACCTATGAACAATACTGGCGCTATATAAATTGTATTGATTGATTCATTGATTTATTGATTCATTGATTGATTCATTGACTGAATTTAATATTTTTACGATATCTTACTAAACAGTAAGCAAATCAGACTTGGGGTAGATGGCAGTTGAATATGTTAAGTATATACAAAACAGCGATAAATTTTGATAATGTATAACTATGAATGTTTTCCCAATATTCTTTGTGTGGCGTGTCACATATTCATTACGTATTACACGTACGCATTGTGGTTTTATTTAGTCTGTGTCGAATACCCGAGGTAACTTTTGGTGAAATGTTGTATTAGGCAATGTTTGAGGAACGTTGTCGTTTTTCCTGATAAGTACACGTGTTAACACTACAGAGCATTTCGACAGGTTTGTGTGGCCACATCTTCCCATCTCGGCATCAGCCAGCAAGGTCCGTTCAAACACAGCAACCAGTGAGCCTTAACCAAGGGTCGCCATTTGGCCAATTAATTTAATGTGCTTTGGATATAAGATTATAGCAAAAGGCCTAAATCTGATGCCAAGACATGTATTTCTTTAAGTCACGTTAATATTAATTTAAAAAAATGCAAAACCTGAATCTTAAAACCCAAATTAATTTGTATGGGTTAACCTGGTAAATTAACATCGACTCCTCTTATTTTCAACACGAGTTACTATTTGAACTACTAACACATACACATAGATCACGGGGGGGGGGCAGTCTCTCACATCTTTCAGAGGTCTGAGAATCAATACAGTGTAAAAACTACACCTCTATGCTGCATAAAATAAAAGTGTTCGCAAACAAAATAAGTGTTATAATTATAACCTGTCCATACCACCTAAAGAAACAGAACATGCGTGGGTGGATTTCAGATGGTCATATTTTGAATAATCAATTATAGTACTTTGATTATGAACGGACACCTACATTCTATGCAGTGCTGGGTAGAATCTCGACAAATACCTCGTTCACAAAAATGCACACACACGTTATTATTAGTTACTTGTCAGAATTTAATACACGACGTGGTACATGAAATGTTGATCTAGTCGCCACAACAAAGTGACGTACATAGGCGGAAACAACATAAACACAAACATGAAGCAGAGGGATTTCCAGAGAATCTATGTCCCTATCATTCTCCCGAATCAGACAGAGAGGACTGTCTTCATATTGCAGCCAGAAACACTGATAAACTCAACGGCGTCGGTGCAGTTTGGCGATAAGTGCAATACACTTAGTAAAAAAAGTCACATATAATACCACACTCAGTTTACAAACATGTATTTATGAGAGAATACTGTCTTGCCTTGTAATCTTAACGCATTATATCGATTTCTAACCTCATGTTCCGATTAAATTAGTCAGATGTCAGTAACATATGAAGATTATATTAGCCTCTGATCCAGATCCAAGCCTTATATTCAGCCTAAATTATTCATTGTCTCGGATACCGGCGCCTTATTCGGAATCCATTATCCTCCGACTCAAATCCCAGTCCTATTCTCAGAATACATTAGCCTGCGATTCATATGCCTGCCTCTCATTTAGATTACATTGGCATCAAAATGAGATTCCAGTTCCACATTCAGATTACCTAATTAAAGGGCGGTAGTCGTCGCGCCACGCATGCGCGAGATATATGGGTCTCATAGAAACAAAGATGGCGACTTTGACTGTTGAGCAGATCAGGGAGTACAAACTGGGACGTTACCAAGCTTTAATTAGGCATTTTTAGATGGTTGAAAGGTATCGAAACAATCACAGGCGGTAATTAGTGCAAGTCATGCCCAGGTCAAATGTTATACTTGTGATGACTGCCGCCCTTTAACCTCTAAATCTGGTTTTATTAGCTTCCGATTCAGATTCCAGTCATACTCAGAATGCACGAACCTCCAATTCAGATACCAGCCCATAAATATATAGACGGCTAAACGTTCAATCTTGCAGACACTAGTTGTGTGTACAGTAAACCGTACATGCAGCCATAGCAACCGTGATCAGACACAGTGGCAATCTCGGCAAAAATGCAAAATAAGAAAAAATCAACCACTAAGTTTAAATCAGAACGTGTTATTAGCTCGCCAAATCCAATAAGAATACGTTAGAGCGTGTAATTTATTTTGCGCATGCGTACTCTACCGAGCAACGGACGCGAGTAAGACAAAATATAAACGCCAAAAAATAACAATGGACAGACAAACCCAGAAGAAGACAGCGACTGACCACATTTGATGACTCATTTTTCAAAGAAGTTAGAGTAAGTGTAGGAGGGTGCAAAAAATGACAGGTAAAAGATTCGAAACATTCAAAATCAGTCTTACTTTCCCGTTTGTTGACCTCGCGTCACGCACTATGTACTAGCGCACAAACGTTAATCACGCAAACACTACTACCAATTTGGGAATCAGAAATTGCCATACACGATTGAGAATTCGCGTTCACCTAGTCAAATAAATTGCAGCCGCACACATCGGTGGGTAAAATGTCGCCCATAAACATGACTGTTGTTCCTGCAGGGCTGCTATGCAAATTATAGATACAACAAATCAGCATTACCGACCGTAAACTAAAACCAGATTAAACTATGCGCCTGCGCCAACTTCGATTGACAAGTTTCAAACTAAATTCTTTGCAACTCCTACTTGATACATATCTCGTCGTCCAGGCATATATTTTGCCATTCAAAAATGCCGTTCCCACTACCAACGTGAGGGAATGGCGTACTAAATATCGAGGTATATTATTGCCCCGCGTGAGTGTCATTACACCAACTACTCGAATAAGGTGGAAATAGCGAACGCTGTTAAACATGTGTGTGTATGTTTAATTGTCGAAGGATAGTATATGTAGAATATTATCTCTTCACATAAAAAAGAAGGATGCCAGACCGAACATAAACAACATCAACACTGTTTGGATGACGTATGCACTCGTGGCTGCAGACGACTCTGGATCTGTAAGTAAAATGAGTAATGTTCAAAAATTACAAACTGAAAACTAACGTCAACACATTTTTTGTTTGAAGGGGGGGGGGTCGAAAAGGGCGTTTGGTTGATTTTTTTTACATGTCATAAATATGTGCGGTATTTTGGATTGTTGTATGATCCAAGATAAATGGTCGACCACAGCCATTTTATCTCATCGTGCATATATTGAGCTCAAGAATATGCTAAATAGTTTATTAATGGACTGATATTTAATGAACAATTTGCCGACTGTTTTGAGTTCATTTCGAGTATAATAGAAATTAAATCCGTTTTTGTGGTTGGAATGTCATGATTGGCATAGCATCAAAAAGAACGTGTCGACAGCTGCCGAAAATTTTAATAAACGCAGTATTCTTGACCGCGGAAAACTTGATATAGTATAATCTCTCATCACAATCTCACGAGTTCTTCGAGAAAAAACAAACAAAACAAGATTACTACTGCGCTTACCCGAGCAAACAGCCATTTCCGAGATACAATTGGTAACCGCAATGGTACTTTTTGCGAGAAAGGTCAGCTTGGAATCGGTCAGCATGACAGTGGAATTGTCACAATCAGAGTGATAGCATTGTCTCATCACTCCTCGTTTATCATCTAGAGAAAACAATTATTGATTGAAACACACACCACTGATTATTTCATAATTTTGTCATGAAATTTTAAAAACCTGTATATGCAATGGGAAAGTATGAATTACTAGTGCAGAATTGGATAACATTTTGTTTGCTGTTCAGTATTCTCCAAGTTAACAATTTCGCACAAATATATATCACTTTCAAGCGAATTGAGAGTGGTAATGGACACATTTTGCAATTATGATTACACGAAGTCATCCACTGCCACCCGATCCATGTACTGCATATTAATATTTACTGAATAACATGAGACGGAGAAGGAATGATTACCTGTATCTGACAGATAGATGGCGCTGTACGATGGGTCATTGGTCCAAAAGTATTTGTGGTCGCTGTCCATAAGACGTGGATAAGCGTTCATTTGGTCTTCACTTGGGGCACCTGTTAAACATGAAAGAGGAAACGGATCTTGGATGTAAATCTGGCAGTTCAATTAGCTAGCTATATAGGTTACCTGGTTGTTATGAATATAGACTGGGCAGTTAGTAGTGACCGATGCAAACTAAAACACGCCTGCGATATGCCCCTTAAATTGCGCCCTCTTACGCTTCTGTGGCGTCGGAATTACATAAGTAGGTGAAGGTAATTTACAGTCGTATGCATAGAGACAATACAAAGCACGAACAGAAATTGCCCTTTATAGAATAGTGGTCTTTATATGACCTTTCATTAATCGATTCCTGGATACAAATATGACATGATTTCTCAGTTAAAATTGCAATTTGTTTCTCTTGATTAAATTTCAGATTGAAGTAAACCCAAAATGGGGGTCACTGGTAACATAAGACAGGTAGTATTTATAAACAAGTGACTTTTACATGTAAAACTGCGTTGGGACTGCGCAAAGGTAGTCGCTATCAGCAGGCGAACGCTAACACAGGTTTGACTGAGTTAAAAACGAGCGTGTGCCTATGTAGTGGTTCATCGTTTGGAAAATAGTACTAGTAAATCTCTCTTATTAACACCAGACTACTGGTAGCCCTCGTTCACACTTTTACGTCACGGAGGCACATTGTCGCCAGATGCCGCGAGGTATAGGAGAGATGTATTTAAGTTGGGCGACTAATTCAATGACATAGCGTATTCAGTAAGACGACGCCCCCAACGAATTATTTCGTTAATTCGTTTTTAATATACACACACCGCCTCCTTGTAAATATTTCGCGGGCACTGTACTTGATTTAAAAGTACAACATTCGGGATTATGAACTCATAAAAAAATAGCGTTCCGCTATGCATCGGTGATAATAATAAAAATGTAGGTCAAATTATATACGTCATTCGTATCATACTGCGTAATTAATTCTTGCATGAACGAAGCCACAATTAACTACAACACTAAGTATCTATGATTTCTCGGGTTTCGGAATAGTTTGTTGTCATTAAGCGTAAACGTTTCCCTGTATATCGACCATGTCCGTATCACACAATTTGACACTCATTTATACTAACCTCAGCGCCCATTTGAATTAAGTAATGGGAGTGGAAATTTGAAACATTTTATTTGAAGCTTTGTTGCATTTGATGAACTAATTACAGCAAGGCCATTGTGTTCTCTATCCGAAGAGTTGGGTTACAATATATCAAAGCAGGCAGTGTTACTGTTTCCTTGCAAATGATGGAGATACCTACTCACCTTCAATGTCAAGTTCAATACTCTTGATCTTGTATTCAGGTTTGGATAAATCATTCCAAGCTTTACGAAACGCCGCCATCAATTTAGAATCAGATTTGCGACCCACTCCGAACAAGAAGTCACCTTTCGAATCGGCGTCTCTGATCTCGGCATTGAAGGAAGAGAACTCGTCCTTGATATGATTAAGAAAAAAATGTTGTTTGAGATTTGCGCTAAAAAGTCCGACCTTGGAGAGCCTTGAAACTGTCAATGTCAGGCTGGGAAATCTGTGGTTAAAGCGGTCGTCACCTGCGCATGCACGGGAATTGAGTCCCACGCGACAATAACAACACACGCTAAAACGCAAAGGCTTATTGGTAGACGCTTGCTTGTAAACAATGACACGCTATGGCCATCTGACGCATGCGCAGGTGACGACTCCCCCACTTTAAAGTTGCATTCTGGGATCAAAATGACTTATAAAATATATAGCTATGAACTTATACTTATCAGTTAATTATCAAACAAACAATCGAAATCATATTTCCAAGACGCCAATAAAGCAAAATGTGAATCATCTTAGAGTGTAATTAATTAAGGGCATGGTCAAGGTGCATCGCACGCCCAAAGTTCGCGCGACAGTTACCGCTCTTAAACGTGATTCAAAGAGTTTTCAGAGAGCTTTATTGGGACTGTTATGTGATATTATTGATGGTCTGATTTTGCTCGCATTATTGTGAGAGGGATCTACTGCCTACATTACTCGGAACAGAAGCGAATCTTCGAGAATCTACACCGTGTTAGAACACTATTCAACAGTCTTAGCAAATAAAATTTGAACAAACAACCAAATAGGAAGCCGAAACGATAGTCAAAATAATTCAGAATAACCCATATGTAATTATATAGTGTCAAGACAGCTCAACGAATACTCTCAGAGTGTAAGGACAGTGGCAGTGGTCACTTAAAAAAAAACTTTTCCAGTACTTCGACATAGATAACACGTTTATATGCCGCGGGGCCACTAACCCAAATTCGTTGATGTTTTGATCCACTAGTAGCCAGAAAATGACGAAGACGAAATACCTCGACTAAGCTGTTCCATACAATACGCTGTTTAACGCATATTAATATTAGTTGAAATAAAATTAAATCGAATCTGGGTCGATTCGACAATACGCCATTATATTACTCACATTGTCGAGGAAGATTTCCTGTGATTGATTTTTTGTGTCATAGTTCATGATAGTATCTAAAATAATAATTCCTTTGACCTTTGACCCTGTCGATTCCAGTTGTTCCTTCAACCAAACTTCGACGAAGTTCTTACTACCACACAGACCACTCGGACAGGCTGATGTGGGTTCTATAAAAACAAAACAAGAGATGTTATTCTGATTATATAGAAAATAATAGTGACAGAAAGATGGTCCACAGAATTAAATTTTCCGTAATATATGACGATTTGTGTAATTTCAAACTACTGACGTATTCACCCCCATGGGCGTCATTTCTATGGGTGGACCCGAACCATTAGTCCAGATCAGGGGTAGGTAGGTTAGAAATTCTGCGTTTTTTTATTTTATATTTTCATTCCTACAACGATTATTTTCTTTTTCATCAGACAACACATACACATAATGCTAATTTTCCCGGCAAATCCTAATTAATCGCCTAATTAAAACCTCTCAGTCTGCCATGTACTCGTTGGTCAAAGTCGCCAACTTATGAGACCGAGATCTCGCACATGCTTGACGCGACGAACGCCGCCCTTAAAGTCTTATTTAAAATATTGGGTGTAATATGAACACACATGCATGCCCGACTGAAATATAGTCTGAAGAATATATAGAAAACCGCAATTTATTTTGACTGGCTGTTATGGTAAACGTGTACTCCACATAGAGTGTTAAACGACGATAAACGAATGTTTCAGCAAATATTTAAAAACTAATCTATAAACAGTTTACAAATTTGAGTAATTAAAATCCCCTTGTAATTTAAAATTATTTTAATGCAATTCTGGATTCCGGCCAGAATTCTGCTTTTTAGGGTTTGCCATTTTCCCAGCAATGTACTGTAAAACATGTCTTTTTTTAGCTAGCATGTTATTTTAGCTATTTTAGATAATCTGTAATTTCGCTATTTCAAGATGCAGCTAATTTAACAGAAAGTATATTCTCACAGGGAGATTCTGTTAATCCATGCCAAGAGTCAAATCCGCTAAAATTGCATGCATCTATGTTTCAACGTGTTCTACAGTAGTTTGTTGTCATCCTTAAAAAGTTATTTTTTTCTTTCAAATGTTCTCACGCGGACAAATCCTTCTCCAAAAAAAAAACATGACTGTCCACTCTCACCTTCTTTCTCCTTCATGTCAAAAGCAGCAAATATGACAGTGTTTTCAAACGTACAGGACATGGCTTTCAGTTGCCTCAAAGCTTCCAACATGGCGGACAGGCCGGAACCATTGTTGTCGACCCCAGGGGTTGTTGGCGTCGTGTCAAAGTGGGCTCCCACTATCAGGTACTCGTCGTCTTCTGTGTCAGCCAGTTTTCCTGGAAGGATCCCTACCACGTTGTACCCCATCGTCTAGTGGTAATAAATGACATTGATATAACCAGAGTTACTGTACTGCGTGTGTACACATTCAGCTATTATGATACATTTTTTAACGTAACCAATTTAAATTAATTGTTCATAGCTTTCTCAAAATATGCAGATGGTTATTTGTTTGAAGTATTTAAATCGCAATGACGCGCGTGTCATAATTAGAGACGGTATTAATTGTTTAAAGCGGGAGGATCGTTACCTGCGCACGCGCAGGTAATGAGTCCCAAACGATGATAACAACACATGCTAAAAACGCAAAGGCTCGTGGGTAGACGCTTGTTTGTAAACAATGACCCGGTATGACCATCTGGCATATGCCCAGAGGACGACTCCCCCGCTTTAACACGAACATACAGTATATATAGCCACCCATGCCCACCCCTATTTTTTGGCAATTTTCTATGTTCAGGACCCTAGGCGCTTACCCGGATAAATTCGGTATTTTTCAGTTACTGCCAAAGGCTAGATGGACTCGTCATATTAGTTGCATTATATTCTTGAACAGTTTCACTTATTGTATTTTACGATTGTTTCCTTTTCCTGAAATTGAATTGTTTATTGCAAATGTATGAATAACTCAGGCCATACAGTTCGTTGTCCGTGTAACCATTTTTTTGTCGCCTGATTTGATTGGTGCGGTTTCTCATGAGTGTAAAATGGAGGTGTGAAATCAACCGCGCCCCCAACGACATTCTTTGTTTTAGTTATGTAGCGTTTGTCAGTTAGAATACCTTCAAGTCACCAATCTACATATTGTCGTCGCTAGAGGTCGCAAATATATTAAAGGCGCAGACTGTTTCCAATTCATCAAACTCTCATCTCAGCTATACATTTTATTTGTTCACACTAGTAATTCTTTTACACTGACCTGTGGATCAGAAGTGGCGAAAGACACCATATTAACGTCAAGTTCATTGTCTTCAAATGTACTTTTAATGAAGTTCCTGGCTGCTTCGTGATATGCCATGTTACCAGCGTGATTGCGATTTTTGCTGAACTTGTTCTGTATCATTGTACGCAGATTGGACGCAGTTTTGACGTAGTCCTCGTCAGCTGACTGACAGTGTGACGCCAATAACAGTACCACAACTGCAACAAACAACAATATTTTAAGAGGATGCCTTTCCTTCAAGTTCACTAAATGTCGCATTTCACCTGACGTGAGTTCATATTTAGAATCGTTGAAGGGAGATTAGAGCCTAGTCGAATGTAATGTGTATTTGTTACGAGTATATGTGTCTTATGCTAATTTATGTTTTTGCAAACAATTGGTGTTGTGTAACGCGTTGTGCGATGTGACGTGCTATGATGTGATGCGATGTTATGTGATGCGATGATGTGTGTAGTGGTGTGATACGATGCACTGTAGCCGGACTGGTCTTATGTTATTGTTGGGGGCTTGTCTTCGTTTTGCCACGAGCTACTGAGTGTCACGCTGTCTTACATTGTCATGGGGTTGATCACAGTGGGGGATATAGAAATTCGAGCAATTATGATGTTGCCAGTGTGACTGAAATAACTATCGTGAGAATTGCATCCTGAGAAGCAATTAAATAAAACCTGGAACAGTAATCTCCTGTTCAATGGAGTAATCTTTCTCTTCCGTAAGAGTACTCCGGTCAGATGTCAGTAATTGCAAAGTTCGAACAAAAGAGATGTGGGTTAAGTACGATTACCTCATAATTTGCAAAGCTTCCTTCGTAAGTGATGCCATTGTACTTGGCGCTCATTATCCTCCAATCAATGCAAATTGCTTAACTAGTTATGCTTTACATGGATATACAGTGGGAGAGGGGGGGGGGTGGTGCAACCCTTTAGGCGAGTACTGACATTTCATGAATACCACAAGTGACATGCGGAGATATTTAGGTTTGATGTTAGTGCTGGTGGCATTAGGCGATTCCACTGAATGCGCCACGGAAAGACAAGGACATTGTGAAATTATGGAATTCTAAAAGACATACTTGTTTCGTAAGTTTCAGATATTGACAAATATTAAAATTTGTATTGGTTGTGCAGTTGTCCATATCATTTCATGTGATTATTATCACGGAACGGAGTATCGTAAGAACCGGAATTCTTCAAATACGTCATAAAGATTGACCATTTTTTACAGAATTGCAGCGAATGTACATGTTGAATGTTCATCATCAATCCGTTTCAATGAAATAACAGAGTGAATGGATTGTGCAATACAAGAAGCTATTTCTCAACAATCCCTATGACGCCCTTTCGAAGAGATTTGCATCAACGCATAACAGTTTTTTATCACAGTGCTACGTGTTACGATTCAATTGTTTTTTCAAAAGGTGTGCACTAATATTTTCAAAAGAAACTATTTCGAATATCGTGGCTGTGATAGGAAAGACATAAATGCGAAATGACATTAGAGTAATATCAAAGCTCGGAGAAGGTGAACTTACCTGCTGTTCGGTAGATACAAAATTTCGAAGCCATCTTAAAGCACATTAACTCTGTACTAAGCTGAAAACCAGAATGCAACTGAATCGAGTGAGTTATTTTGTAATACGGCACTTGTCCTTAGTACATTTCGGTACCGTGTGCAAAGGCCAATCTAGGACGGTGCCGTGGGGACAAACAGCGTTATATTTTTTACTTATCCCGGTAGTGCAATTGGAAAGCACAATGCGTTGATAAATTAGGTACACAATGATACACGGAAGGTCTCACTAATCTACCGAAAAATGATATATCATTAACTTATGACTTCCCATGACAGAAAGTTGACGAGCACGCTAACGTATCTATAGCTACAAAGTGAAACGTGACAACGGGATATGATTAACTTATAGATAATGCTAGCAACAGCGTGGAAATTTACTGCACTCGGTGGATTGACGTGTGCAGGTGTTCGGGAGAGATAATGTCTGACCAAGGTTGTGATGAAACCTAAGATGGACTGTGAATTATGGGCATAGCTCCGATGCAGAGAATATATAGTTTACAGAACGTCCCCGAAACGCGCTGCTAACTTATTATCTTCTAATATAGTGTTAGGTCCCAATACAAGGAGACATACGCACAGAAGAATATCGAATTCTGTCTAAAATATATTACGGCGTCTTCGCTCAGTGCATTCATGTAAATAAAATGCTTTTTACACGCGTTGCATCATGCATCACGAAGACAACTCAGTGAGACGATTATGGCGTTTTAAACTTTAACAGGCAATATTTTCTACATGATATAACATTACTATCATCGAACTGTGAAATATATTTAGATGTAGAGTTGAATTGTCTCTTGAAATGAAACGCTCATTGTAATAAGCTAATCAGTAAATGTAACAACTGCAAAACACGCAGAGCCAGATACTATAAAAAAAGTCTATAACAGTTTGTTTCGTCAAAACAGGAAATTATTAGTATAATATGTGGTCCATTTAGAAAAGGACACCATGAAACTTGAAAAGGAACATTTCCTAGCTGCTCGGTTAAACACAAAACAATGGAATTTACCGTAATTACAATTACTTAGTAAATTAGTTCTCAAATATATAAAATAAAACTAGATATAGTCATCCAATACTATACACTCTGTTACCATATAGAACATACGTATTAAAATACGATTTTGCAAATAGAACAGTACGAGAGTGTGATGATGACCTTCCAGGGTCGCCAGTGATGATGGTTTCTTGTGTGCATTCTTTTACAAAAAAAAATACTAATCAAATCCCACGCGATAACACTTGCAACAGATACCGATTAAAAATTTACATTCATAAGGATACCGTATTTATTTGTATATGTTTTTAATGTATGTCGTCTTCTGTCCTGTTTATTTTGTGTAACTTATTTGTGACTAGTGGTTATTATATTGATGTCAGTCCGTGCTAGAACCCGGAATTAGGTAAATAAAATAAATAGTTTCCTTAGTGAAATTAATAAAAAAAATAGCAAATTCAATATAATTGTGACATGCAATAATTTGCAAACTAGTTCGAAGCTCGTTGACAATACATACACGCACAACAACCTTGTGTATGTTCATCACGTGACTACAGCGTGTAAAGTACTTCAAAACCAAACATTTACAAATCACCAAGTCATGGTTTGTACGTAGTAACACGAGTTGCTACGATAAACAAAATGGCGAACACGATGACATAGTTCGACAAACATATAGTACATGAAATCGAAATCTATTGGTCCTACCACCGTCCCTGGTGTTGAGGGACGGTGGTCCTACCTACTTTCGCTGCACGTCGCTTCGCAATTTTCTGAGCACAGAGCAACTAGTTCGAGTACAAGAGTAATTACCGCACCGAGTACGGCTACGAGGACGCCAACAGAAGTTAACGGCCTATTTTGGAGACGAGGTTCTATTATAAGTTCCTTCCCATACAGGCCATTAACTACCGTTCGAGTTCGAGTTGCCACACAAGTAATACTGTGAATTTGGCGAGATTTAGGTGTTATATGCAGTCCCATCGCGTGTTGTGTATTATCACGGTACACACGTGTTACATAACTCTTTTTTTTTTATAGAGGAACACTGAGCCAATGAGCTCTAGAAATCGCACCTGATTCATGTACATGTCATAGTAAAATGCATGTTTCGTTCAACCACAAACCACAGGTCGATCTGAATACCGTCGTTTGAACCTAGGATGTTGTATCATTTTGTGGTCTTCACTTGAGTCTTCACTTAGTTCTGATAAAGCAGTCCTCTCCTAGTAAGTGGGTATTGTTGAGAACAAAGAAACTACTAAACGGGTACTGCTCGGAACTAAGAAAAAGTACTTTCATACTAAATACTGAACAAATACCGTCCGCTATCGAAGAAACAAAATAATTTCTTTTTATCGCTTCAACTAATTAGAACGCTCCGTCCTCATTGATGTTACGTGTCATGGCTTAGTTATTAGTTTAATTTACATAGCATTGAATTATGTTTTGCGTACAAGTCTTATCTCCATGCATGACCGGAGAACACATTCGTTGAACAATTGTCTTATCTTAGTTTACGCAATGACTCATACATACGTACTCGTAAAGGTACAATGAAATAGGCTTAGTCTGTTTAGACTATGCTCCTCATTTTATAAAACTAATTTGTTGAAATCAGGTTGTGTGGTGTGATATTTTATTTATTTATTTATTTATTTATTTAATTAATTAATTAATTAATTAATTAATTAATTAATTAATTAATTAATTAATTAATTTTATTAATTAAATTAATCACTCACTCGCTAGAGCGATTTTTGTCTCATATATTCAATACTAAGTTATGGTAACTGATGCACATTTTTTTTAATGTGGAGTTGTGTTCATTTACATAATTCTAAATTTTACGATATTTCAGAAGTTCGTGATGTTTGCTTTTAGATTGTACCTACGACTATAGTCTTCTCTGTGATTGTACAGACATTGTTCATGCCAATCTGCGCATATGTGGGGCGCCCTCAACCGGCAGGAATGCGAATTTTGTTTACTTGAGGGCGTTCCACGCATGCGCAGATTAATTTGAAGTCAGGTATCACAAGAAACAGAAAATTGTCATAAATGCGTGAAATTTATTAAAATATATGATTTACATGTTATCGGACTTGTAAGCACTCGTAACTGGTTTTGACAAGGTATTTTTGTATTTTGAGGTTTGATTTTCGGCAGCTAAAAAAGGGGGGGAAATTTTGTTACCGCTTTTGCATTAGCGATTTTCAGGGTTTCGGAGCATTGATACTTCAATTTAATGAAATATGCTTTACGTGTTCAAACTGTACATGTATTAATAATATAATTTATATTATTTTGAGCAAGGGTAAGGTCCTGTACTGGGATATAGTCGCTCCGCCCCACAGACGTCCATGTATTGACACGAATAGCACCGTGTCGTCAGGCACCTGTGGTCGCATCGATACTGTGTATGGATCTACAAAATCACAATAGCTGTATAGCAATAAGAATTTAATCATCTGACTGCTGACTTCAAGGATTCACGACAAGACTAGTTTCACTGACTTTATAAGACGTACCCAGACACCACTCATATGCTTGGCACTCAGCCACCATCACATATCAAACCATCAGGAGCAAGATATGAATCTAATTTGTGCAACCAACTGTTCTCTTTCAAAAGTGACAGTTTCATTAAAAAACTATGATGCTCTTCTATAAAGTTTGCAGTTAGAAGTTCTTTAAGAATTTATTGCTGGAGGTCATACTCTACACGCTGGAGCTCTCGCATCGGTGATACTGATACTGAAAGAGGCTTGCTGGATAATTTTTTATAATTTGTGTAGACAGACTTCTTCCCTTCAGAATCATCTGTATCTAAAACACTAGTACAGCTACCAGTATTTAGTGGCAATGCGTCTGAACTACCGCTCCTGTCCATCAAAATTCATGGTTTAAGAGATCGTCTACTGCAGATTATCTTGATGCTACAATTCCTGGGCTAGACTTGGAGTTGATAGGGTTCATTGTATGACTTATCTGTTGTATGCGATTTGCTATGAAATGAAACTCACTACAGTCATACTGTCTGTCTGTCCAGAAAATATGACGGCTGTTTCATAGCAGATACACGAGATTTAGCCTTCAACAAGGTGCTATAAATGTTACTATTTGAATAAGTAATGCGTAGATATGAACAACTGCCATATCCATCCTATTATGCATCTGAGAAGTGATGCAACTCTGTCACAATTGGCTTCTGCATACCTTCTACTATTTATTTGCCAATGCAGGTAACTATTTCTCCATTTAGACCACTGTGTACATATTTCGTCAGGAACTTGCTCATCCCAGTGATGTCCATCCCGACAAAGATTCTGCCATATCTTCTTTCGCTCTAGGAGGCATTGCGAGATGGAGCCCATTCAACTGATCTTGACCACTAAGTAGACACTGTTTTCTTTACATTCACTTCTACAATTGAACACAACTTTGAGCTTATCCGGTTTCTTGGGGGTGATAAACCCCATGATTTGGTATATACCATACTGTGTCCTTCTCTATCTCAGTAGCAGGGACTTTTCTGCATAGGATTTCTTTACCAATCTCTCATGCTCATAATGTAATTGTCTCAATATTGTACATTTCTGCCGTACATTTCTTCTGTAAGTCTAAAATTACACCCATCTTTCTTTAATGGTAGGAAAAATACAAAATGCCCATCTTCATTCTGGAGAGTGTTCTCTTGCTAACTCTTCAGAAAGCGGTCTTCCAATGACATCTACATGATGCTCATGAAATTCAAGTTCCAGCATATTTCTCACTTCTTCAGTTGTCACATAACATAACATATGACATGACTTTGGTGTGACCTTGTCATTCTTGTCTAGCAGGAGAAATGGGTTCCCATGCACCCCCCTAAAACTAAATTCAGCTCCCCAGGGATATATACTCAAGGAATTTTGATGTTACAAGTGAAAGAAAATGTCCCATGGGGTCCTAATTAGCATACTTCCAAGATGGCTGCCACCCACA